GATGCCCAAGCCACCTCAACTGGCTCCTCTCTATGTGGAGAATTTTTAAAAATGATGCAGAAAAACTTGTCCATGCATTTGTTACGTCTAGACTGGACTATTGCAATGGTTTATCATCTGGATGTCCAAATACTTCCTTAAAACGTCTTCAGTTGATCCAAAATGCTGCTGCCAGAGTCTTAACCGGAGTTAGTAGGAGAGATCATATTTCTCCAGTTTTAGCTTCTCTCCATTGGCTCCCTGTCAAATCCAGAATAGAATTCAAAATCCTACTTCTAACCTACAAAGCTCTCAACAACCTGGCTCCATCTTATATTACAGATCTTATTGTTCCATATTTTCCCAACAGAGCACTTCGCTTTCAGGCTGCAGGTCTACTTGTGGTTCCTAGAATTTACAAAAACAGAATGGGAAACAGATCTTTCAGTTATCAGGCTCCTCTATTGTCGAACCAACTTCCAATCTCTGACTGTGAGGCTGACACATTAGCCAGTTTTAAAATTAGGCTTAAGACTTTCCTTTTTGCTAAATCCTATAGTTAGGGTTGGCTTGGGTTTCCTGAGCTGTCCCTTAGTTATGCTGCTATAGGCTTAGACTGCTGGAGGACAAACTGACCACACTTTTCACTCTGCTACTGTCTTCACTTACTCTGCTCAACCTGTTTTGTATTTGTAATTATTTTTTCTATCCTTAACATGTGTTTTTTTTTTTGTCTTTCAGGTACACCTGGACCTACAGGTCCTTCTCAAAAAATTAGCATATTGTGATAAAGGTCATTATTTTCCATAATGTAATGATAAAAATGAAACTTTCATATATTTCAGATTCATTGCACACCAACTGAAATATTTCAGGTCTTTAATTGTTTTAATACTGATGATTATGGCATACAGCTCATGAAAACCCAAAATGCCTGTCCCAAAAAATTAGCATATTTCATCCCACCAATGAAAGACAAGTGTTTTTAATACAAAAAAATGCTAACCTTAAAATAATCATGTTCAGTTATGCACTCAATATTTGGTCGGGAATCCTTTGGCATGAATGACTGCTTCAATGCGGCGTGGCATGGAGGCAATCAGCCTGTGGCACTGCTGAGGTGTTATGGAGGGCCAGGATGCTTCAATAGCGGCCTTAAGCTCATCCAGAGTGTTGGGTCTTGCGTCTCTCAACTTTCTCTTCACAATATCCCCCAGTTTCTCTATGGGATTCGGGTCAGGAGAGTTGGCAGGCCAATTGAGCACAGTAATACCATGGTCAGTAAACCATTTACCAGTGGTTTTGGCACTGTGAGCAGGTGCCTGGTCATGCTGAAAAATGAAATCTTCATCTCCATAAAGCTTTTCAGCAGATGGAAGCATGAAGTGCTCCAAAATCTCCTGATAGCTAGCTGCATTGACCCTGCGCTTGATAAAACACAGTGGACCAACACCAGCAGATGACATGACACCCCAGTGACTGTGGCAACTTGACAATGGACCTCAAGCAATGTGAATTCTGTGTCTCCTCTCTTCCTCCAGACTCCGAGACCTTGATTTCCAAAGGAAATGCAAAATTTACTGTAATCAGAGAACATAACTTTGGACCACTCAGCAGCAGTCCCAGGTGAGATGCTTCTGACGCAGTCTCTTGTTCAAGAGTGGCTTGACCTGGGGAATGCAGCACCCGTAGCCCATTTCCTGCACACGCCTGTGCACGGTGGCTCTGGATGTTTCTACTCCAGACTCAGTCCACTGCTTCCGCAGGTCCCCCAAGGTCTGGAATCGGCCCTTCTCCACAATCCTCCTCAGGGTCCGGTCACCTCTTCTCCTTGTGCAGCGTTTTCTGCCACACTTTTCCCTTCCCACAGACTTCCCACTGAGGTGCCTTGATACAGCACTCTGGGAACAGCCTATTCGTTCAGCAATTTCTTTCTGTGTCTTACCCTCTTGCTTGAGGGTGTCAATGATGGCCTTCTGGACAGCAGTCAGGTCGGCAGTCTTACCCATAATTGCGGTTTTGAGTAATGAAAAAGGCTGGGAGTTTTTAAAAGCCTCAGGAATCTTTTGCAGGTGTTTAGAGTTACGTCGTTGGTTCAGATGGTTAGGTTAATAGCTTGTTTAGAGAACCTTTTCATGATATGCTAATTTTTTGGGACAGGCATTTTGGGTTTTCATGAGCTGTATGCCATAACCATCAGTATTAAAACAGTTAAATACCTGAAATATTTCAGTTGGTGTGCAATGAATCTGAAATATATGAAAGTTTCATTTTTATCATTACATTATGGAAAACAATGACCTTTATCACAATATGCTAATTTTTTTAGAAGGACCTGTATATCTGGACCTACCAATCTGTGTTCGTTTGTCTCTCCTTCCTGTCCTCTCAAACCAGCTGGTCAAAGCAGATGTCCGCTTGTCCTGAGCCTGGTTCTGCTGGAGGTTTCTTCCTTTTAAAAGGGAGTTTTTCCTTTCCAGTGTGATTGCTAAGGATGGGAGACTGCAACGAAGCCAAGATTCAACTTGTCTGCTGGCCTCCTTAGAAAGAGAACTTTACTAATTGGCTTTTATGTATTTGAATGTTTCTGTAAAGTGCCCTGAGATAACTTTGTTGTGATTTGGCGCTATATAAATAAACTGAATTGAATTGAATTGTAAGCTAAGGACCTATTTACATGGACACGGTGGGGGGAAACGTAGGTTTTTTTGTATGTTAATTAGAGGAAAAAATCCGCGTTGACATGGGCTAATTTTGTGTTTACATGCATCTGGAGAAATCCCCTCCACCCCACCGACTCTGCTGTAGTTACCATGCCGGGTCATTAGTTGGCGCTGTGAATTTTGTACATTCACCTAATGCGCATGCGTGCTGCCTCTGTCTGCTCCTTTCCTCTGGGCTAAAAGTTCAGCTAACAACATCTTAACCAGAAATTAAAGCTGGATTTTGGCTGGATTCTGAATAAGAGTCGACAGATTTGACGCCAAGAGGGACCGCTTCATCTAACAGCTCCACACCGGTCGCTGAGTGGACCAGAACAGAGTCGACAATGTCGGACTTTACTCTGTGATAATCAGTAGCTGATTTACAGCAGGTAAATAAACGTTCTTAATAATGTTAGCTTGTGTTTATTTCGATCACACAACAACCAGCTGAGTTTTTATTTTTTCCTGAAAAAAGAAGAAGCTGTCCTTCCACCAGGTGGACCGGTTCTGAACGAGGCTCGGTCCAAGTGCAGTGCAGGAGGACGTCGAAGAGAGAGATGTTGGATGAACTATTTATTTAAAATACCCCTCAGTTCTTTTATTCAATCCATTCAATGGTTTAAGCTACATTAATCAAAGGAGTAACAGCCTGAACGAGCCAGATGAACAATGTGGGACCAGATTCCAGGATGAAAACAGAGTCCAGTTAATTAATGTAGTTTAAAGTTAACGTGTTTTTAATAGTGTTCAGTTTAATTATCAGTGTTTGTGTGACATACAGTTTGTGGTGTTGAAATAAATAAAAAAAATAAAAATTAAACCTGATGTCTTCATTTTCAACTTTAACACGCAATATGTTTAGCATCATTTTAATCACATAATTTGAATTACATAATGTCCAGATAGTTTCACTATATATCTCAAACTTAAGATAAATACTGTTTATTATTATTAAACTTGTTATTTAGCACATAGTATGTTCTAGTGCAGCGCGACGTGTGCACGTGCCTCGTTCTATAAACAGCGATATTAGAACTGGATCAGATTGTCTCTTCCAACACAGATGTTGGTCACAGCTCCTGGAATCTGACGTAGATTAACTACGAGATTAAAAATATATTCCATCAGTCGTAGTTCAGAAAGCACCGTGTCCGCCGTCATGTTGATAGAAATGTAGCGTCGGTCCGCGCATGTGCGGATGTAGTTTAACACAAAGCCTCAGCAGGAGATGTTTACATTATCAGCGGGTGGTCAGCGAAAATCCTCCACTCTGGAAGGTGGGTTGAAAAACCTCCGGATTCAAAGACAGGGGCCACTGGTGTCGTGTAAATGATCAACAGAACCACAGAGAGAAAGCTGCGGATGCACTCAAAATATGCGCTGTGTAAACGGCTCCTAAGATATCTGCATATACGAGCTCAGCTTTGAAATTCAAATGAGTCTTCAGCTGCAGTAAGTGGCGGGGACAGGGCAGGTTTGTATACAGTGAGCGAAAGAGGTGGGGTGGCATGAAGGTGCAGATTGGGAGGAAAAAGTGGCAGATTTTCAAGTATAATTATAACTCTAGGTAGAATATAAGACTATATTGTTTTATAATGATATAGTCTCATTTTATATTGTGAATTAAATTATATTGATATTTTAAAAATATCGATATATCGCCCAGCCCTAGTGGTGGCCATCTTGGATTTTAATATGGGAACCCAATTTTTGATAGGGTGTTTTTTATGGTTTTAATGCCTAGATGCAATCACACACCAAAATGGAAATTGGCACAGTGCTTATTTTTCAAATAATCCAGCTCACAAGGTTAACATATACACTGTATAGTAATTTTTATATACTGCGGCAACCATCTTAGACTTAGACATGGCAAATCCAATTTTCAAAAGGATAGATCTAGAATGTAGCGGTAGATGTAGTCACACTCCAGAATTCAATACAACTTATTTTTCAAGTTATCGCACTCACAACATGCATGGGCGGGTGAAGGGCATTTTCATTTGCCTCTTTTTACTCTGTGATGGGGGACAAAAATACTTCTTACAATCCAGTCACAAGTATGGGCCCAGTTAAAACTGCACAGGTGTTGATTAATGTTCATTTCAGCTTAGTGTTAAATTAATGATACGTTCTCCTCACATTTTTACTGGTTCTAGATTTTCTTACACTAAACACTACATGCATTAAATATAACACAGCTATTAAAATATAATTTGAGATAAAATTGTTAACTTATGAAAGAAGAAAGTAACCAAACTAAATAATTTTTACTGTGCGGTGTGGAAAGGTGACAGAGATAAGAAGAACTCTTACCATGGTGAGGCCCAGTAAGGTTGGACTGATGAGGTGAACGGGTGCCGAAACACTGCTGTTGTGACTCCTTTCCCAGAAAGTATAAAACACATCTGACCAGCAGATGATCCACAATAGAAAGCCAACAGCCTGGGAAGAAAAAACAGTTTAAAATGTCTCAGAAATATAAGTTATGTTTAAACTATTATAAACCTATTACAAATGTAGCGTCCATCTAACCAGGGGTCCCTCAAAGAGACAGAACATCCTCAAAGACATCACGTCTCTCCTACCCCCCTCTCTGTTAAATCTACAGCTCAGATCAACATCCTGACCACCCCTGGTTCCATATTGTATTATAATTAACTGTGTTAATTAACCCTCTCTCTTGGGAAGGGACAGATATTTATTCTCCGACAAGAAGTCCATAACAAAGTATGAACTTCACCATACTAAAAAAACCAAGGTCGCCATGGTAACAAAGGAAGTTACCCACCAACTGAACAGAGATTCAAAGTAGCCTACTGTTTTCAATGTAAGGGGTGTCAGAATCAAACTTGCATTTTGTGAAAGAATGGTGCTTACGTAAAACAAGGTGTTTCCATTTTCAACAAAGCTATTGTTCCCATCTGTGACTTTGAGGGGAGGTTATAATTACATTAATTATGCAGTCGGTTTACACCCACTGTGATAGCAATCCGATTGGTGAAAACCAAGGGGCACAATCTCTCCTGGCGTCAGGTAATACACCAGAGATCGGCAGTTGCTAAAAAGTTGTTGAAAAGAGTTGCAGAGAAGAACTCTCTGCAGAGAAGCAGTCTCATGGAAGAGAAAAACTCTCTTGAGAGGAGCAGTCTCATGATGGAAGAAGTTGTCCGAAGCTGGCAGAAGTGGCTCCTGGTGGAGAGTTAGGGCTGTATACCGAATAGGGTTGTATATCTCTGTGTGATAGACGATTCGATTCGCATCTATAGATACAAAGGTTACAATTCGATTCAAAAACGATTTATTTTAAAAACAGAACGATTTGATTCGATTCGATACAGTGTAAGAGCGATTTGGTTAGATTCAATTTTATATATTTCTACAGTTTAACATTTGTTGAATGTAGACAAATATTTCATTATGAACAAAAAGGGCCATTTCTATAAATGTGACATTCTTACATTATTTTTAAATTTGTAAAAGTCTACATATATCAAATCTAAAAGCGTGCAGTAAGGCACTGGCAAAAATAAAGTAAAAAGCCAAACAACAGAATCACATGTCAAATGTGTTTATTTTTAGACATGGACCTAAAAAGACCAGCTAAAAGAATATTTCTTTGTTTGATGGGATCAATATAAAATGAGAAAATAAAGAAAACTTATAAAATGCACAAATGACTACAGCAGAATGTAATAAAAAAAATCACTAGGAAAAAAATAGGAATAAGCTACAGTAAGCACAAAGCACCTGTGCAATAACCTGCTGTGCAATAACCTGTCACACACCCTGTGTAGTTTGGTAGTTATGTGCAATATATATCGTGCATTTTAGCTTATATTACAAACCGGATTCCAAAAAAGTTGGGACACTAAACAAATTGTGAATAAAAACTGAATGCAATGATGTGGAGGGGCCAACATCTAATATTTTATTCAGAATAGAACACAAATCACAGATCAAAAGTTTAAACTGAGAGAATGTATCATTTTAAGGGAAAGATATGTTGTTTCCAAATTTCATGGCGTCAACAAATCCCAAAAAAGTTGGGATAAGTCCATTTTGACCACTGTGTGGCATCCCCCCTTCTTACAACACTCAACAGACGTCTGGGGACAGAGGAGACCAGTTTCTCAAGTTTAGAAATAGGAATGCTCTCCCATTCATGTCCAATACAGGCCTCTAACTGTTCAATCGTCTTGGGCCTTCTTTGTCGCACCTTCCTCTTTATGATTCGTCAAATGATCTCTATAGGTGAAAGATCTGGACTGCAGGCTGGCCATTTCAGTACCCGGATCCTTCTCCTATGTAGCCATGATGTTGTAATTGCTGCAGAATGTGGTTTGGCATTATCGTGTTGAAAAATACAGGGTCTTCCCTGAAAGAGATGACGTCTAGATGGGAGCATATGTTGTTCTAGAACCTGAACATAGTTCTCTGCATTAATGGTGCCTTTCCAGACATGCAAGCTGCCATGCCACAAGCACTCATGCAACTCCATACCATCAGTGATGCAGGCTTCTGAACGGAGCGTTGATAACAACTTGGGCTATCCTTGTCCTCTCTGGTCAGGATGACATGGCATCCCATAAAGAACTTCAAATCGTGACTCATCTGACCACAGAACAGTCTTCCATTTTGCCACACTCCATTTTAAATGACCCCTGGCCCAGTGCAAACGTCTGAGCTTGTGGAGCTTGCTTAGAAATTGCTTCCTCTTTGCACTGTACAGTTTCAGCTGGCAACGGCGGATGGCACGGTGGATTGTGTTCACTGAAAACGCTTTCTGGAAGTATTCCTGAACCCATTCTGTTATTTCCTTGACAGTGGCATTCCTGTTTGAGTTGCAGTGACGTTTAAGGGCCCGGAGATCACAAGTATCCACTAGAGTTTTACTGCCTTGACCCTTACGCACAGCGATTGTTCCAGATTCTCTGAATCTTTTGATGATGTTATGCACGGTTGACGATGATAACTTAAAAGTCTTTACTATTTTACGCTGGGTAACACCATTCTGGTATTGCTGCACTATCTTTCTGCGCAACAATGGTGGAATTGGTGATCCTCTTACCATCTTGGCTTCTGAGAGACACTGACACTCTGAGAAGCTCTTTTTATACCCAATCATGTTGTCAATTGACCTAATTAGTGTTAATTGGTCTTCCAGCTGTTCGTTATATGCTCAATTTCCTTTTTCCAGTCACTTTTTGCTACTTGTCCCAACTTTTTTGGGATTTGTTGATACTGTGAAATTTTGAATCAACATATTTTTCCTTTAAAATATTACATTTACTCAGATTAAACTTTTGATCTGTCATCTATGTTATATTACGAATAAAATATTGACCTTTGCCATCTCCACATCATTGCATTCAGTTTTTATTCACAATTTGTTTAGTGTCCCAACTTTTTTGGAATCAGGTTTGTACATTACTACCTTGAAATACTTATTCACACAAATTCATTCTACTTCACCGTAAAAATTCTACAATGTTGTTTACTATTTTTCTCTTCAGAAACTTTGTAAATATTATAATTACTTTTTCACTTTTTGGTAGTTTATTTTGTACTCTTATTGCATGCTTTAGTATTTCTTGTTTGCTTGTTTTTTTTTTTTAGCAAGTCAAATCGGTTCTTCTCATCCTGAGCATTTCATTGTGTTAACCTTGCATATGACAAATAAACACAACTTGAACTTGAACTTAATAAAACAAAAATATTATGCAAGAACAGTACGCCTAACAACAGCAGCACGAACATGAGTTTGTGTGAGCAGGTGGGCACGGATTAATATAACATCATATCATTTAAACAGCAGCATGAGATCAGATCAGCAGCATGGATAATCAGCAGCACATATCAACAGTCAAAAGTGTTGATTACATGTATAAAAGAAATCAAACTGCAGCTTTTTGACCTGGTGAGGTAGTCTGAACAAAAGTAATGTCCTGCATTTCTACATTCACGTCAGGTTAAATCTGAAATCAAACACAGTGAAGTAGTTCACTTCCTTATGTTTGTGCTTAGTTACCTATATTTTTATTCATCATAATCACTGTCCTCATCTTTTTTTGCGGCAGGTTTTTCGCAAAGAAAATCAGCTGATCCACATGCTCATGTTTGAGTAGACTGCGTTTTGTGGAAACAATATCTCCTGCAGTGCTGAAAACTCTCTCAGATGCCACACTGGTGGCTGGTATGCAGAGATACATTTTAGCCATAGATGACAGCAGTGGCAAGTCCTGTTGCTCTTTCCACCACTGTAGTGGGTTTTTTTTCAGGGGCAAAGGATCACGCTCTCTGTACCTCTTGACTTCTTCATTGGCCTGGTCCCTCACAGATCTAGCCGCCGTCCTTACTTGAAAGTCTTCTCCCAACAGCTGGTCCAGGGCTGACATTTTCTTCTTTTTACAAGGACGTTTATCATCTGAAATAGAAAATATCCATTATCTAATCCATTATCTTTACCCGCTTATTCCATTTTGGGTCACAGGGGTCGCTGGTGCCCATGTCCAGCAATCACAGTGCGAGGGGCGGGGTACACCCTGGACGGGTCGCAAGTCCATCACAGGGCCACATAGAGACAAACGAGACAAACAACCATTCACTCTCTCATTCACACCTAGGGACAATTTAGAGTTACCAATCAGCCTAACATGCATGTTTTTGGTCTGTGGGAGGAAACCGGAGTACCCGGAGAAAACCCACGCATGCACGGAGAGAACATGCAAACTCCACCCAGAAAGGCCCCTGGACCGGGGTTTGAACCCAGGACCTTCTCACTGAGAGGCAGCAGCTCTACCAGTTGCGCCACCGTGCTGCGAAATAGAAAATAATTACCTTATATTACTGGCTATGCTTGCCACAAAGTTTTTTTAATTAACTTTACCATTTTATGTATAAATCTTCATTTGATGTTCAGAATTTATTTATGTAAGGACTTGTGTACATATGTAAACGATGTATCATTATCATCATCATCATCATCATTATTATTCAACTCTTTCTTTGCATGCAGATCCTCTCATTAAAGTGAATGTGTTTTATACTGACACTATGGCTGCAGCACAAGTTTAAGACAAAGTCTTCTCGTTCTTGATCACAAGTTATAAAACACACAAACCTTTATGCTCATCTTGGGTCTGAGGTACATCAATGCAGACGTCCGGATCTCCATTTGCAGGTTCAGTCTAACATGGATCAGTCTGCACTGGACCTCTCTGAACTGAATCTCCCGTTACCTAGAAATAAAACATGAAATTACATTTAGTGTACAGTATGGTTAAAAGCAATGTAAACAATCAAATAAAGAGTAGTCAGAATATATCTAATGGCAGCAACAAAACACAGCAGACTGTAACTGAATGTACTGTAATATGTATTTTGACAGTGTGTTGGGGGATTTACCTTGTGATGCAGGTATGTCGCTTCTGCTGATATGCTTG